TAGACGATTCTCTTGCCTCAGCTTCCCAAGTAGCTAGAACTACAGGCGCCCGCCACAACGCCCAGCTATTTTTTTTGTTGCAGTTTGGCCAGGGCCAGGTTTGAACCCACCACCCTTGGTATATGGGGCCAGTGCCCTACTCACTGAGCCACAGGTGCTGCCCCTGCGGCAACTCTCAAGCCCCTGCGGCAACTCTCAAGCCCAAGAGTTTAAGGTTGCTGTGAGCTGTGACTCCACAGCATGCCTCTACTTAGGGCGACAGCTTGAGACTCTGTCTTAAAAAAAAAAAAAGTGCAAATACACATGAATGTCTATTTATATATATGTATGTATATGTGTGTAGACAGGTATATAAACCCTTTTTCTTTTCTTTTTTTTTTTTTTTTTTTTTTGAGATAGAGTCTCATGCTGTCACCCTGAGGACAGAGGGCTGTGGTGTCATAGCTTACAGCAACCTCTAACTCGGGCTCAGGTGATCCTCTTGCCTCAGTTTTTCTACTTTTAGTAGAGATGGGGTCTCACTTTTGCTCAGGCTGGTCTCAAACTCCTGGACTCAAGCAGTCCACCCACTTCAGCCTCTCAGTGTGGTAGGATTATAGGCGTAAGCCACCGAGCCCAGCCTACTCTGTTGTTCTTTATAGGCGTGTCTGGCTAATAGAGGTTGGATTCAGTTTTTATGTTCCATCTATGTTTTTGTAGTTACTTTACTATATAGTTCTGTTCACATTTGTTTCAGGTTTTTTCCCTGTCTCTGTTCACTTAGTTTTATTTTTATAATATGTAATACGTGAAATGCTTCCAGAAGTCTAAACTACAGAAAAAGATACATTCATAGCTTGTCCCCTATACCTCTACCCCATTCCTCCCACCTGCTGTAGGTAGCTAATTTCATTGGTTTCTACATTATCCTTTCTGTGCTTCATTTTGCAAAAATAATGCAAATAGGCAGCACTTATAGCTCAGTGGGTATGGTGCCAGCCACATACATTGAGGCTGGTGGGATCAAACCCGGCCTGGCCAGGAAAACAATGATAACTGCGACCAAAAAGAAAAAACATATATATATATATGGGAAGCTGAGGCAGCTCTTTTTTTTTTTTTTTTTTGCAGTTTTTGGCTGGGGTCAGGTTTGAACCTGCC